GAAAATCAAACACTTCCAATCGTCCAGCAACAAACTTTTCGAAACTATTTCGTTGATTTGGGGCAGAAAAACCTGAAATATCGCTATTAATAGAAAAAAAAAAGAAAAACTAACGAGCTTGCTTCTTCCAAGTAGTAATCACCATGATATTGCTCGGGTTGCTGCTCTGGCTGAGCAAAACGTGTGAGATTCTGCGATTTGTATGCAGCTGCGAGTCTTTGTTGTTGCTGTGATGCTGTTGTTACGTATCGATGTTCTAAAAAAAAAGAAATCATCAAAATATGCCATTCAAAATGTCTAGAACTGTCAATACTGCATAGGAATTTGGTTCCCATTTTCACAACCAGCAGCATTTTCGCCAATTTTTTTTTTTTGTGCCTTCCGCAGCTACACCATTCCTGTACATTGGTTAACTGACTCAGCATGACATTCGATTACTAACTTAAGCAAAATGAGGCAGCAAAAAAAAAAATTCGAAATTTTTGCCTTTAAATATCGAGCCATCACTTTTTCAAATCACGCTCTGTTCGCTCGCTCTCTTCCTCTCTGATTTCTCTTTCTTTTGCATATCTGTCTTGCGAATTAGTCACATGACTGTTCAGAACATGGCGAGTGGGAGGCTGCACTGATGATTCCCGTTCCTATCCGCATACATTGCTCGGTCAGTGTTTACAGCTGAGGGATGAAACACAAAACTAACTACATCGTAAAAGGCCTTTCGGCGCATGACACTTAAGACCAATCATTCTGTTCTACTATTTATTTGTTTCTTTGAGTCATGGCCCTGATTTTTCCTTTCTCATGCGTAAAAAAATCTCATTTCTGGGAGCTATTTCTAGCGAAATCGACGATTAAAAATTCGCCTTACATCCGGATTAGGGCATGGAAATGCCAAAAAATTAATTCTTACGAGTAGTGCCACAGTCATATCCGGGCTGGTCAACTTCTTCCACCCAAGCACCATCATCATCCACATCAAATCCATTATTATCTCGTGGTTTACCAGCAATCGCTTGAATGCGTTTCGTTATCGGCCGTATGATGCCATCGATTAAATTCTCATGCATTTTCCGTAGATGTCGTAGCATCGCTCTTGTGGAACCTAATTTACGCAGCATAACCTGTAAATCCATGGAATGGCTTTTTTCCTTTTTTTTTTAATGGGACGTATGTATATATATGCCGCCGTTTTTGTTTAAGAATACTGATTTACTCTACATCTAGGTGCGTGGGAAGGCTGAATTTAAATTTGCGCGGAAGTACACGAGCAAGGGTCATTGCCCATCAAAATTCAGCTTCTTAACTTTCGTAGTTTTCAAGATAATAATTTTTCCCACCAAAACCACTTAGCAAGACTAGCACCAATAGCACCAAAAAATTTTTCATCGCCTAAGTTGGAACTGAAGCCATAATTTACAGCAAGATATGGAAGACTTACCATACCGCAAATTTTGCATTTTGCTTTTGATTCCCCGTCTTCATCAATTCGTTCACAGAATAACCAAACCTTGGATTTTGCTCTGGTCAGCGGATCTTCAACGGTTGTTTCCTCATGCCTAAAGCAAATTTTAAGTGAAAAAAAATCAACTTAGGCATGGATCGGTCAATGAAATGGATATTATAAGAGTTCGCTGGGTTCAAAATTAGAGCAAATCCGCCAAAATACTGCTTGCTGGAGGGCACGATTCCTCTCAAATTTGAGTATTCCCTCAAAATCCAATATCTAAAAAAACATGTAAATCTATGCCTCTACAAGAAAAATCGCCTAAAAATTGGCACAAACAGTTTTTTTAAAAAAAAGTCTGTAATAGAAAGGTATTTTGAAGTAGAAAAAGAGAAAATAATATTAAGAAATCAGTAAAAGTAATAGTA